GGAGATCATGAATATGAAAAATAAATAGAATTTAAAGGATAAAAACAATAATTCTAGTAAGAAAACATTTGGACCATTAATCTAACGCAACCCTATAGGTGAACGATCCACCCCACTGATTTGGTTTTAAAACATTACACAAAACCACTTTTTGAAACATTACTCAAAAACCAATTGAGCTAGCAAAGAAATATTAAATAACTAGTGAATCAAGAAGATCCTACTCCTTTCCAGTACCAAATCCTTCAATCAAGCCCTTTACAAGGAACGTGAACTCCTTCACTAATTTCCAAAAGCTAAAGTGAGAGGTGCAACTCTTTTATGATAAGTGCAATATCCAAGTCCATGAGAATCAGCCTAAAATATAATCTCCTCACTAAATTTTTAAACTAATTATTTTACAATTATAATTTTATAAATGTGTGATGATGAGAAGAGCCTAAAATATAATCTCCTCACTAAATTTTTAAACTAATTATTCTACAATTATAATTTTATAAATGTGTGATGATGAGAAGTATAGGCTCTCAAATTTTGAAATTAATCAAATTTTCAAAAAAACTAAAATTAAAATCTTATGCACGAGTCTAATCATAGGATTTTTACTTTGGGTGAAAGAAGCAGTTCGGATATGAGATGTCAGAATCTCTCCACACATGTCAATTGTTCAAGTGAAAGAGCACGTAGAGATTAAGTGTCACAACTACTTTTCTTTTTTTGTTAAGGTTGAGAAAAAGATGGATGTCTAAAGTAATTACTATTGAATTCGCAATAAAAGAAATAGTAATGAGGGATAGAGAAAAGCCAACGACACATATATGTTGTTCTACAATAATACCTACGTCCATGGAAGGTAAACCAATATCTCATTAATAGGGTTTGCTTTGGTTTATCAAATATTTATAGACTTACAACTCTTGCCTTTTAGGGAACAAATTCCATTACAATAGTCATTCACAAAATACGAAACTCAATTTAGTAAACTTCAATATTTTGTAATATACAAGATAGGAAACTTAATATATGGTTTCTATAACTGTCAACACTTATACGATACTTTTTGGGGGAAAATATATAATGAGACTATTTATCTTTGGTACAAGGTAGTCACAACTAATCTTGGTAATTGGATGTGAAATTGGGTAGTTGCATTTATTCCATTGACCAAGCTCAAAGTTCCAAAGAAAGTTTCTCGAACTTTATGACACACCCAAGCTATCGAATTTCACATCTGATGGTTGTAAGTAATTGTGACCTTATTGTACAAAAGGTAAATGGTCTCATTGTATACAATCCCTTCTTTTTTTTTTAACTGAAATGGTAATTCAAAAATTGAATATCTGAATTGCCATAGTTACACATCTCAACTTCTATCTAATTCATAAGAAAAAGAGTTTTGCACAAATATTGAATGTTTTGTACTAGAGGTAAAATAAAAATATTAAAAATAAAAAATTATCAAATTACCCATAAGAAATTAACAATGTAATATAATATTTTAAAATGCCTATAATTATTTACCTATAGCTTTTGATTTAATATCAAAACATCCATAAAAATATATGCTATTGAGTTAGAATAGATAAAAATAAGTTAAATATTAAGGACACGGTTTCTATGTAGTCAAGCTCACATATTTAGAAGTGTGGGTCTCTTAATAAATCTATTTTTTAGATGGATTTTAAGACTTAATTTTTAAGGACCCATAATCTCTAACATAGAGATCATGAATATGAAAAAATAAATAAATTTTAGAAAACTAAAAATAGTAATTCTAGTAAATAAACATTGGGACCGTTGGTTTCCATTGTTTCTAGATGGAACACCTACTTGCATCCATCTTTGAGATGGATGCTTTACACTTTTTGGACCGCATATGTCGCAATGCGGTCCAGCCCGGATAAAGCAATTTTCCAAATATTATTAAGGACCTAGTTTCTATGTGGCCAAGCCCTCGTATGTAAAAATATGGGCTTATTAATAAATCTATTTTTGAGATGGATTATTGGACTTAATTTATAAGACATGTAATCTCTAACATGGAGATCATGAATATGAATACATAAATAAATTAAAAAAAC